TTTCTGTCTCACAAACACCCTTCCAGATTCTTCATATATTCTCTACTATATACATTTAGTTAAAGTACAGATTAAAATCTATAACACACTGATGAAGACTCAACTCACTGCTGTCAAGTCAGAAGGAACGCATAGCTGATCCTGCACTGGGTTTCCAAGGCTGTATATTTTCCAGGAGGACATTGCCCAGCTTTTGCCTGCAGAGTCACTGATGGACTTGAACAGCTAGATACAGAGGGAGAATCGTCACATCAAAGTCATGGAAATCTAAGTCATATAAAGCCCTAGTTTGGAAAGCTGGTTGTTACAGCTGATGGCTAGAGATTTCCTTTTATATATATCCACAGTCACCACCTATGGTGACAACAGACCAAAGACGAATAGATCCAATCACAACTGCCAATCTCCTGGAAGGGCATTGCCCTCCTTTCTTCTGTGGGGCTGCTGGTGGCTTTGAACCACATACCTTAGGGTTGGCAGTGCCACACTTTTACCACTAAGCCATCAGAACTCCCTAACGCAGAATGGCTCCCAGTAAGTGCTGAGGACATGGAATTTCTCCACTCTGCCCCCTCGCCCTTTCTCCTTGACTTCTACCCTCTCCAGTCTCACAATTCCTGCAGTGGCCACGTCCAGACGATTCAGCAATGTTCCCTTGCTTACGCTGCATTTCCATGGCCAGTCCCCTAGTTCTGAATCTCATTACCTCCTTCCTGAGTGGCTGCAAAAGCCTCCTTCGTGAGCACTCTGTGTCCAGTCTCTCCCTTCTAAGAGTCATTTGGCAACCGGCTGGCAGAGCCGTTTCCCCAAAGTACAGCTCCAATAACATCATTCCCTGATTTAAAACAAAACAAAAAACCAAAACCCAACAGACGTCAAATGGCTTCTTAATGTCATTAGAAAGAGCCAAAGGTCCGGAGCCTGCTTTCTCTCTTCTCCCCACCGCCTGCCTTTGGAAACATGAGTTCTAGTTACTGTCTCTGTAAACCGCACGACACAACAGCCAAACCCCACTGCTCGTATTCTGCAGACTGCTGTCGGATTCCCTTGCTGGTCTCTTTAGAACGTTCCTTAGAGTTATGACAAGAGTTCAGAACAAAGGCTGCATAGTGGAGTCTACTCGGGGAGAGGGATTGTATACCAATGAAAGAATTTTTCTTTTACTTTTCAACAAGAAGAGTGAACTGGGGCGGGGAGGGGTGGGCAGGGAGAAAAATGCAACAATGAATGAATGGAAATCCCAAATCTCTGTAAACGTTCATTAAAATAAATAAAATTTTTAAAAAAGAATTGAACTTCCTCCTCCTTAATCCCATGACTTCAAGCACCTAATCTCACACAATTAAGCCCATAGAGCACATTCGTTTTATTGCTAAAAAAGGAATCAGTCTCATTTTCTATTAATATTAAAACTATCTCTCTAGATGAAAATTGTCTGCCAAGACACATCCTAGTTTATTCATTTTTGTGCCTGAGATTGCCTCTCAGAAATGTAGCTCAAACTACCCTGTAAGAGAAATTTTTATAATCTGAAGGATGACACAAAACTTCCTGATAATCAGACTGTTTAACAGGGGCATATACTCTGAGGTACCAGGAAGATTTCAGTAAATGTGAAACATCTGTGAAGGACAGAGACAGAGACAGAGAGAGACAGAGAGTGAGAGACACAGAGAGACAGACAGAGAAAGAGAGAGAGAGAGAGTGGAAAGAGAGCTCGCGCCCGTGCAAGGGAGATCTGAACTAGATAAACTATAGGACTCCATGACTTACAGCCATCCTTAAAATGTTAAGTTTCTGTATTATAAAGTTAAGACACTTGAATACTTTAGTCTGAGGCAAAAGAAACATGAAAATAGGTATTAGAGTAGTATCTAGCATATTTTTTCTTTACATCACAGAAGCTGGGACTCAAATTAGGTCAGTACTGAAGGGTGAATCGTGGGGAAAAACCAAGACGAAAACTCAAAACACCTTTAGTGCATTTTGAATGGGTTAATTTATGGAAAAAACACAAAGGGGAATGAAAGCTGACAATTATCCATTTATTATTTCCAGTTTGGAAACCGTGGCCCTGCAATGTGTGGAAGTCTATAAATCTGCTTTGTTTTATGCCAGCGCCTCCTTTTATTTATTTGGTAGTGAGGAACTCTGTCCTTGGGCTCTTTCAGCGATGATGAATAGTGAACCATTTGAAGAACACAGATTGTATTTTCTTTAGAAAAACAGACTTGTGCTACCAGATGCCAAATCTCTATATTCTTTTAAATGGGTGTACTTTTCTCACGTTTCTTATTAAAAAAGTAGAAAAGATACTTTATTGATAAGTTTCAAATATGTGCCACAATACAAAAGCAAAGAAATATTCATATACCACTGATAGATTCCAGAGTAATAGTTACACATATCTTTTTTTCCCTCCTGAAACTTATTCTAGTCTCTTCCCTACCATCACACAGGGAGGCCATTTCTCCTTTTGCCCCAGGATCCACGTCCTAGCTTAAGCACAAACAAGCATATGTTAATACGTAGTCATAACTGAGGGGAGCTCTGGTGGCCTACGTGAAAAAAGCTGCACTGCAATTCTGAAGGCACATGGTTCAAATACACCAGCTGCTCTGTGGGAGGATGGGCAGTCTCCTCCCTTGCGATTAACAGCCCCTGAAAACCCACTGGGGAGTCAGCTATGGGTCATTTCCGACTCAATGGTACAAAACAACGAGTCATAACTCAGAATGCATTCTTGTGCCGTGGCTAGGAGCCGAGATCTGACAGGTGTGTTGTTTTTTGGGTGTTTTTGTTTTTGGTTTTTTTTTTTTTTAAAAAGCAGCAGTCTTTATTGTAATGTCATAAAATATGGTGTTAGGAGGGAGGGAGGGAGGGAGGCCATATACAACAGACCTAAAGCACCAGTCTCTCAAATCATCCTCAGGAATTGATGTATCATTAGGTGACGTTCAGTTGATTACCATCCTGTGATAAAAGAGATCAGGGCCTGCGCTCTTGTGCCCCTTGCTCCACCCACTGCTGCAGTTACCAGGCACCTTGCTGAGGGCCATCCCCCCTCCCACTGACCCTCTCCCCTTCCCAGAATGAGATCTCCTCCGAGCACTGGCTCTCCCTCTGATTCATGCCCCATGAACGTGCAATGAAGTAACTATGTCCACCCTAAAATAACGCACAAACACGACTGGAATTTCCTTTCTGTGCTACTGCATTCACAAAAAAATGAAAAGATTATTCAAAACTTGCTCTATTGACTAGAGAGAGAACTAGTAAAGCAGGTTGGAAGATCCAAGGGGGGAGGGTGGGTGGTGCTGGTGGTGGTAATCACAGGGTGGTCGAATTTGACGAGGAGAAGGAGGGGTGGGTCAAGGAAACGGGAAAACTCCAGTGTGAAAAACAATGCATACAAACTTTGTAAGTAAACCAGTATAAAATAAAATAAGTTATTGTTTTTTATTACTTTTAATGAAAGTTTACAGACTTAGGATTTCCAGTCATTCATTGTTGCACTGTTCTCCCTGCCCACCCTTCCCCCCCAAATCACTCTTCTCCTTAAAAAGAAAAAGAAAAACTCCTTCATTGTTATGCAATCCCTAACCCCCCCAAGTCCACTCTACTATGCTGCCTTCTCTCTGGACTCCTGTCATGACAAGAATACCCAGTCATATGTCCCTTTTAAACAGTTCTCTCCCTCATCTCTTTCAAAGCAATATACATCATGTTCTCTCTGAAGCAATTAAATGACACTCCAAAACTCAAACTCATAATCACTGAGTCAGAATCCACTCCCCGCTGACTCAACCTAGAGTTTCTAAGACCGCAAAGCCCATTTGTCTGTCCATTTTTCTTCGGAGGAGCTGCTGGTGGGTTTGGACCACCAGAATAGTGCCCTTTTGATTAGCAGCCCATCTTCCTATAGACTAGTCCACAAGCCCTCTGTTGGGCTACCATAATGTCACCAGTGGGACGTGGAGAGTTAGGGAAATGGCAATTTTAATTGTAACATTAACAAGTGACTACTTTCTTCATAATAAATGAATGACTTAAAATGTCTGCGTGAGCCAGCAAGTCATTCCTAGAAGGCTTAAGAGGAACTTCATCAATATAGCAATTGTCATTGTTGTTGCTGTTGACTGCCGTCAAATCATCTCAGAGTGACCCTATGAACAAAAGGCCTGAAGCCTTTCTAGAACTATCGACACTTATCAAAGTGGACGGAGTTTCCCGAGGCATGTTGGTTAAGAAGTGGATGCCACTGTGTACTGTCAATTTACAACTGACTCATAGATGACCCTCCAATGGGTTTTCCAAGGCAATCAATACCATGAAAGGAAATAGCCCATCTCTCTCCAGTGAAGCAGTTGGTGGATTTGAACTTTTTACCTTGGAGCTGGCAGTGCAACTACTTACTACTGAGCCACCAGAGCATATGTATGTGTGTGTATTTATCTACACACACACAAACGTATGTATATACATATACACACACATACCATTTCTTTCAAAAGTTGAAAGAACAACTACAGGTTTAGCTGAAAAGTTTTCAGTCTCTATACCGAAATGAACATTTATGAACACATCTATACCACAACTTATCTGATGTACAGAGCCTTTTCGTGGTTTTAGGAATATTATTGTGGATAGAATAATTCCTTGTTTGCTCCATTACCACTAATCCTCTCCCCTGCTGGGAAGAGTATGGATATGCTACCAAAATAACTATCAATAAAAATTTTTACAGAGCTTCAGCAGGAAACATATCCTTATGGTTTGTTATAGCAATAAAAACGATTCTTATAAACCCAAATTGCACGTTATCAGTAGACTTAATGGGCTACAGCTGTATGCTAACTTACCTGCTCAATCTTTTCTTGCCCTTTCTCTGTTCAGAGTTGACATTAGTATCCAATTGCAATGACATTTGAATCACGCGGGTTTTCAGCTGCACAAGCTTCAAGCACTCAGTTTTTACTGCTGCTAGTGATTGTACAGTCGCTGACATGGTCTAGTGGTTAGGATTCTGGGTTTTCACCCAGGCGGCCCGGGTTCGACTCCCGGTGTGGGAATACAAGATATTTTAGGGGCTGCTATTCTTCATTGGTGCAAAGAACACACACTACCCCGCGAAAAAAATGCTAGAGTTTTCTGTTTAAAATGTACAGCCTTCCAAGGCAACAGAGGGAAGGACAAAGGCACCTAGGTGTGTTGCTTTTCCCCTCCTGTACCAGTCAGTTTAACAATAGTGTCTTAATATTAGTGAACCTTTTTAAAAAACTTCTTTTGAATGAAGTAGTAATAAAAGAGAATGAGAAGGAAAATAAACAACATCCCCCCCCCCCGCCTTGTGCAGCATTGAGTCAGATCTGATTGGCATAAGAGGAGATTGCCCCTCCTCCTCCAGCAGGGGATCTGGTGGATTCGAACCACGAACCTTTAGGACTGCAGCACAGCTTCTTTCCACTGGGCTACCAGAGCTCCCTTAAAAAATGTTTTTTTTAAACATTCCAGTTACCAGTAATGCTACAACTTATTAATGTATTCACTTCGTGATTAAACATATCAAGACTTCATAAAACCATTGTGCCGTTACCACCTACATAATCTAGGAATATGACTTCACAGCAATTTAGAACTCTATCATGTTTTCATTATATGATTAAGACAGATTCTAAGCATTACTAAAGACTCAGTATTGTCTAGTTTGAGAGGAAGTCCATGGATAGGGTTGACTTTGAGTTACTCCACTGGGGGACTAGTGACACTATTCATCTATACTTTAGATGTTGAACATGAAATATGAAAAGTTACTGTTATTGTTGTTGTTAAGTGCCATCGAGTCATAGGCAGCTCATAGACACCCTATGAAGGAGAGTCCTCAACGCTTGTGTGCCTTTCATCCTCTCTCCAGGTTCATAGGGTTTCCGGAGGCAAGCTGTTATGGAAGTAGATGCCACTCTTCCTTCCAAGCTTGTTTTAATCTGGGAGCTTCACCCCACGCTCTGTCCACATTGGGTAGCCAACCATTAATGCATTTGACACATCGGTGTCAGTGTTCAGCCTCACAGCAACCACAAGTGACCGCGGTACGGCAAGTGGACACACTAGGGCTATATTACCTAGAAGAATGTTTGAACAAAAACAATGAGAGACAGGCCCGAGGGCCGCAGATTAAAAGTCACCCACTTTTGGCTTGGTAGCATCGGAAAAGATATTGGGGGGGGAACCCAAACAAGCTTTTAAAGAGAAAAGATCAAGATGTATCACTAAGATCAGATGCAAAGAATCTGAATCACATTTAAAGGGGATACAGAATCTTTAAACAAATACCCTATCTTTTTGAGTGAGAAAACTGGTCACTTGTATAGAGTTAAGCAGCTTACATTGTAGCCTTATTGGCAGGGAGTAGCGCTACCATCCCAAAGGCAGCTGGTTCGAATGCACGAACTGCTCCAAGGGGGAAGGAGTGGCAAGCTCCTCCCACATGATTTACTGCCCCTAAAAAGCCACTGGAGAGTCAGGTGTGTCATTTCCAACTCGTTGGCAATAACAAGTATACAAGTATAGTACAACAGAACACATTTAGATAACAGAAATGGCAAAGGAGGTTGAGTTTTCAAGAATGGAAATACAAAGGAAGAGGAACAGTTGTAAGCAGACACTGGTGACTGGGACATGGAATGTGAGAACCATGAATGTAGGAGAATTAGATATTGTTAAGGAAGAAATGGAACGCATAAATACTGACATA